AGAGCAGGGAGCCCGATGCGGGACTCAATCCCAGGACCCTGGGATCATGACCTGAGCTGAAGGCAGTCGCTTAACCAACTGAGCCACCCAGCCACCCCAGAATGTAGCTTTCTGAACAAGAATGTGGCTCTTTTCTACTCAGACTCTAGGATGTATTTTTTTTTTTTTTTGCCAGTTGCTATAAAAAGCATTATAGGAACATTCATTTGTCATTTAGATTTCATGGGGAGTATCTTGATCCAGGGGCTCTGAGAGGTGGAAAACCACTGCCTGTGGACACACTCAGCATCTTAAGCGACTCTTAGTAAATCTTGCTTGGCTGCTTGATCCACCCAAGCAGTTAACTTTGTTGACAGACACAGTGACCCAGGGGCACAGAAGACTTCTATATTGTTGGCCATTTTCATTTTTGCCAGCACGTAGAGAGGAACTCTATAGTAAGTTCATTCCTGTATGATGCATGTTGCTAGAAGGATCAGATATATAGCAGAATAAAAAACAAATGGTTTGAGGAAGTAAAATATTTCCCAAAGGAAAAGATAGTCTTTTAATATCATCTGCTGTGTACCTGTTCATTCCTTAGACATTTGCCTTTTTACTTCCACAATTACTTTTATTTAAGCTTATGTTCAAGAGTTTGTCCCATAATTTGCTTTTTTCTTTTGATATTTGTGTCTAAAACGTGTTAAAACCTATGGGGAGACCCAGTGTTTTAGGTAGTACTAGTTACTGAGTGACCGAATCTAATAATGACACCTGCAATTACACCTTAGATATTGCTTCAAGAACTGGGTCCTGGTGATGGTATTGTAATGGCATTCGATAACGTCCTGCAGAAACTGCTGGAGGACTATGGTAGTGATGACACCAGGAATGTGAAAGAAACCACCGAGTACTTAAAAACATCATGGATCAACCTCAAACAAAGGTAACGCGAAGGGCCTGGCAGGTACCTAAATGCATGTAAAGGAGAGAATTTGATTGCTTTGGCTTTCTCATGGAAACATGCCAAATATGTGACTACTAGAAGTACATCTTATTATTATTACTTTTTATTTTTGTATGGTGCTGGGTTAGTATTATCACACTTATACAGAAGGTATATTTATACATTATCTACTTGAATTTCTGCAATGGAGTTTTTCCTTGAATGAGTCTAAACCTTGCCAAAGATCATTTTATGTGTTCTGATTTTTCTATGCCTCCCAGTATTACCTGGTATACATCCTGTAGTACTCTGGGGGTAAGGACTGGTTAGGTATTTGCAGATGCATTAGGGTAATATTATCCCTAATTATAATTAAAATAATGTGGGGCGCCTGGGTGGCTCAGTCGGTTAAGTATCTGCCTTCGGCTTAGGTCATGATCTCAGGGTCCTCTGCTCAGCGGGAAGCCTGCTTCTCCCTCTGCCTTCCACTCTCCCTGCTTGTGCTCTCTCTCTGTCAAATAAATATTTAAAATCTTTAAAAGAATAAAAAAAAATAATTAAAATAGTGTGCTATTTGGCCAGGTCATCCTTAGTTGAAGCTGAGAACACATGGATCCAAGGCCAGACTTCTGAAATATACTATGTATATTTAGGGCTTCAACTAATTTGTTTTCTTTCCATTACTCTGTCTAGTCAGTATATTTGGAACAGTCTAAAATAGCATATGTGTTTATAAGAGAGATTTTTCTGTCACTTGAACACCTAGGGTCTGAGGAACTATAAACAGTGGTTAGCATCTCTTTAAGATAGCATATTTATATTCATCATCGGGAAAAAGTGTTTACTTCTTGCACAGTACTGGGAATGCCTGTGTCTAATGAAATTATGGTTTCACACACATCTTTATATATTCAGATATAACTGCCTGAAAGCTAATTTGTATCAAAACACATTTATTTTGTAGTGAATAAAATGGATAATACTAGAACACTTTATGATGCATGTTACTGGTAATAAAGTTTGGCCAAGCATTTAATAACAGTTTGACATGGAGGTGTTTTATACCTTTTTAGAATGTCATTTTTAGTTAGGGTCTGTAAAGTAGATTTTAGATTTTTGGGAAACTCAAAGACAAGAATTATGAGGCAGTATATGAGTGTGAATATATATATATGTTGCTAAATATACCTAGGATTCTGGAGGAAATAAGACTAGGGTAGCAAATACAACACTTCGAAGTAGTTAAAGCAAAAGATAGCTATAATACTGCTCTTTCTAGCATTTTAGTACAACTGTTTTCTTCTGTTGTAGCAGCTTACTTGGATATAGTAAGGATTCCCAAACTAAGGCAGGGAAGAGGATGAATTAAAAACGGCTTTAAAGTATAAAGTTCCTGTTACAGGATAATGAATCCTAGGGATGTAACGCACAGCATGGTGACCATAGTTAACAAGATTGTATTGTGTATTTGAACGTTACCAAGTAGATCTTAAAAGTTCTCATCACAAGAGAAAAAAATGTGTAGCCATGTGTGGTGATAGATGTTAACTAAACTTATTGTGTTATTAATTTTTGCAATATATACTTACATCCAGTCATTATGTTCTACACCTAAAACTAGTATGATATTATGTGTTAATTATATCTCAGTTAAGACATACAGCTTTAATACTAAGATAGTCCTTAAGTATACTTGATCTGCGTGTTTCCAAAAATCCATATGTAAGAATTATAACTTTGTTTTTGTTGTAAATGATACCAGAAAAACTGATCACTTAGGAATGTGAAGCCTGCTTTATTTAGCACCTCCAATTCTTTTTTTTTTTTTTTTTTTTTTTGCTTTTACTTGGTAAATATTTTAAGACAGCCTACAGCAGCAGTTAGATTAGATGGTAGAGGCAGTTAAAAATGAATTATATTCCAAGGTGATCTTTCATTGATCAGAGCTAAGACAAGCACACTGTTCCAATTTTATGGTAGTTACAAGTCATTGTGCTTATACTATTTTCTTTCTGCATTTTTTGGGGGAATACATCAACATTAAAATTTAGACATGATTTAGGTATATTGCTATCTATAAAGCAGGGAAAATACAAAACTGTAGCTCACAGGATCCTTTTCATGAGTGACAGCTGGGGTTTCTATGTATTGCGAGGATTTTCTCTTTTAAACACAGTGATATTTGCAATTTTTAACTGTTTTAATTGGAGACATTTCTAGAATATACAAATCTTTCCTTGCCTTAAACAAAACATATGAACTTATAAGAACCATTTTTAAAAAAAATTCTTGGCATTATTGTTATGAAGATAGAATTAAGGAACTTTAAGAGCTACACACAATCTTACAGTGCATTTAAGCCAGTGTTTCTCAACATTTTTACATCATCAACCCCCAAAGAGCCTTGTTAGATCCCCACTCCCATGAAATTTTCATACTGGTTATACTGTGTATCTGATTCTATACTTTATAGTTGTGCTTTATAGATAAAAAGCGTAGATTTTTCCACTCCCTGCCCCAACCCTGCCTCACCAAAGAACCATTTCTCACCTCCCTTGAGAATGTGTGGCCTAATGTAATGCTCTCAGGCTCAGAGAAGGTGAATGACATGTTCAAAGTCACGTAGCATAGCCAAGATGATATTTTTCTATCCTAAGTTATGATAATGTTCTTCCTGCTCTGAGTTCTGAAGAATTGGTAGTAATTTATTCAGGCTGCTATGCTTTGTGAGATTTTCTGCTTTATTTTTAGTGTATGAATTTTATTGGGTGTCTTGCCATTGTCAGGCTCTGTGCTAATACCCTCACATGCATTATTTTATGTAATCCTCAAATCATAATAGACAGGCAGCATTTTCATCAACGCTGTGTCAGTGAATAAACTGAAGCAGAGGAAAGTTAAGGAGGACCCGAGATCACACAGCTCATAAGCGCAGAGCTGAGACTGATATCCAAACCTTTTTGACTGTGCAGTCAGGCGTTTTTTAAAAATAATTTTGTTTTCCTCCTTTGTTATCAGAATGTCAGTGATTGCTGGTGACTGCTCTGTGGACCCGCCTCTCGGATCTGTCTGTGATTCCACTCACTGTTTATCTGTGTCGAGTTTGGAAACCAGATCTGATTAAAGATATGGGGGCCTCTACTATGAATAATGTAACACTCTTCAGTACGTGTCCATTGTGCCCTCTGCAGTGGTCACAGAGAGGCCTTATATGAGGGCTCTCTTATCTTCCAGCCGTATTCTGTATATGCGTCATTGTCAGCCAAATTCCGGGGGGCGGTGAAGGGTTATTATACTTGCTCATGGAACACTGTCATTGTGGCATAATATGTGAAGTTTAATATCAGCTTTCAAAGGAAATGTTTTGTATGAATTGCAATTGGCCTAAGTAATTTGGCCATTCTCAGTTACAGGGCCTCATTCCCTTATCTCCGATGCCAAAATCCAATACGCTCTGATAACAGAAAGCTTTGAATTGATATGAGGCTGTTTATTATAGTCTTTATCCTGGTTAGTATAAATAGCCTTGTTCCTAGCTGTAGAAATATTAATGTGTTTGCTGCCTCAGACCCTACTTGTGTGTAATATGTCATACAGATACATTCATAATAATAATTTTTTATTGTATGGAAAATTCTTAATTCTGAAACACAACTAGCTCCCAATATGTTGGATTCTGCAAACAAAAGGCCCGTCTCTAATTTTTTTTCTAAGATTTTATTTATTTGAGAGAGAGAGAGAGTGAGCATGAGTTGGGGTGGGGGGCAGAAGGAGAAGCAGACTCCCCGCTGAGCAAGGAACCTGATGTGGGGCTTGATCCCAGGACCCGGGGATCATGACCTGGGCTGAAGGCAGATGCCAACTGAGCCACCCAGGTGCCCCCTGTCTCTAACATTTTTAACTAACTGATATACATTGACCACTGCTCTTTCCATCTGTGAAATGTTTTCCCCCTGTGTCTCTTAATGCCAATTAAGAAATGTTTTAGTGTAAATTGAGATGTATTGGAAGTTGAAAAGTGCTCGTAGTAACTTTTGAGGTGTGAGTGCCTGATTTGGGTCTGAAATGTCATTTAGCCCCAGAGTGCGTATGTATGTGTATATGTATGTGTACACGTATACTCCATACATGCATGCACATACGTTAACACACACCTAGTTAACTATGTTGAAATATTGTAAAGCAAATGAGACAATATAGTTTTGTGCTATGAGGAATATCTTATACATTATTAATCACTATGTGGTGGGAAGATGAAAGATTCTCTGCAACGAGTCTGCTTTCTTTCTGATCCATGGATATGCTGTCAGTGAGGCTGGTGGTGGAGCTGAGACAGATTTGAATAGGATCACAGGTAACATCAGAATCCTGGTGGGTGGGGGCAGGGAGCTTCCTGGAGGAACTTTAGTTTTGCTGGGCAGTGATGACGGCCTGTTTGTGGTTTATAATAATAAATGTTTAGCAATGCTTATCTACTCAGAGGCAAGTAGAAAGAATGCAGATGGAAGATCGGGAGCAGGGAAGAGGAAGGTGTTTGTAAAGGAGTGGAACCAGAGATGGCTCCTAGTCCATAATCGTGTCTAAGATCTCCCTTCTGCTGAGCTCTGCAGTCCCTCCCTGTGGCTTGGCAGGCAGATCTTGAGTTGACTTTCAGACACTACTTACTTTTGAAGTAGTGAGCAACCATTATAACTGTTATGCAGTGACCATGGGCCTCGAGGTCAGTATATGAATGTAATGGACAAATGTCTCGTGCTTTGAAAGAGGAGGATTTTGCCTGGAAGGTGGGAGAACAGTGGCCTGAAAGTATCAGTGAAAAGCCAGGAAGAGGACACTTATTCCAGCGACTCACCCTGAGGCATGTAGGATCTGTGAGGAAAAAGAAAAAAAACTTAGTTAAAAGTTTTCCAGGGGAATTGATGGTCCTAAGGAACCCAATTTCACTTAAGATAAGATGAAGGAGTTGATCTGTGGTCTGCTGATCATAGAATAGATTTCTG